TGTTCAAGCCGGTGGCAAACATCAGGACGTCCTGGAGAGAGAAACCCGTTTTTTGTTCTAGAAAAGAAGCAATGAGTTTATGTATCAGATATTACAATAACACCAGAATATAGCAATAAATCTTAAAGTCCTCCTTCTGCGTCAAGGAGAAAGTCTCTCCAGAATCCTAGCACTCTTGTTTCCTCATGTCGTCTGCTGCTACCCTTTTCACTGAGCTGAACCTCAAATATTTCCTCCAATATTTTGGATGTCAGCTGTTCCACTCTTGCACGCATAAATGGCCTGAAGATGGAAGCATGCTGCTCCAAAGCATTCTGGAAGTTCAGTGTTGAAAGGCCATCCTTGAATCTATAAAAAGTTTGAAACAGAAATCACCTTAATTATTATCAAAAGAGCTGATATTTTTCAGTAACACAAAGAACATTAATATGTCTAATCTATTTTTATTATTTTTATTTAGCATAGGTAATATTGCTGATGCACTGTGTGTGTGGGTGTAGATGTGTGTGTGTGAGTGTGTGGGTGCTGTTGTAACCATTAATCTCCCGTTCAGTTCAACCTTATAAGCGGAGATACATACTTGATATTACTATAATTAAATAACTTGCAATTAATTATTTGCAACGTTCAAGCTTTTCACAAGTGGTGGAAAAAAAATAAAATAATGTAACTTAGTGAATTTCCAAAAAAAGTAATCACTAATCTACTTTTTCAAGTAGTAATAAGTAATCGATTAAAGTTAATTTTTACAAGTAACTATGCCATCACTGCTTACCAGTGTCTTGAGCTTGTGCCAAGATCTGCACATTCTTCCCACATGAAAAACAGAAAACTTGAATTGTTCCTAGATTTTGTCCACAGAAACAGCAAAACATGGCCACCTAAAAAAGGTAAATCAGAATCAGAAATACTTTAATAATCCCAGAGGGAAATTACTTTTGTTACACGCTCCAGTTACAGTTTTACATGATATATACACACATCCAACTATACAATATAATAAAGATAAAAAATAAGAATAAACAGAGATAAAATATATATACACATATAGCTCTTCTGTATATATATCTGTACGTATATCTATGCATATGTAAAAACTAAATCCAAATAAAGTGAAAAGTCCAATTAAAGTGATAAATCCAAGTAAAGTGATAATGTTGTTTTCCTCCTCTGCAACCACGGCGTGTTTTCCTCCAGAGTTCGGGTGGTATTCCAGCTGTCTGGCTAAAACGCCGGCCGGCATTAGAGCGATCAGCTGTTCTCTGGAGTACAGGTGCTGGTCATAAAATTAGAATATCATGAAAAAGTAGATTGATTTCAGTAATTCCATTTAAAAAGTGAAACTTGTATATTATATTCATACATTACATACAAACTCATATATTTCAGATGTTTATTTTGTTTAATTTTGATGATTACAAATGACAACAAATGAAAATCTCAAATTCATCATATCAGAAAATTAGAATATTACTGAAGACCAATAAAAACAAAGGATTTATAGAAATGTTGGCCAACTGAAAAGTATGAACATGAAAAGTATGAGCATGTACAGCACTCAGTATTTAGTTGGGCCTCCTTTGGCCTGTATTACTGCAGCAATGCGGCGTGGCATGGAGTCGATCAGTCTGTGGCACTGCTCAGGTGTTATGATAGCCCAGGTTGCTCTAATAGTGGCTTTTAGCTCTTCTGAATTGTTGGGTCTGGTGTATTGCATCTTCTTCTTCACAATACCCCATAGATTTTCTATGGGGTTAAGGTCAGGAGAGTTTGCTGGCCAATTAAGAACAGGGATACCATGGTCCTTCAACCAGGTACTGGTAGCTTTGGCACTGTGTGCAGGTGCCAAGTCCTGTTGGAAAATGAAATCTGCATCTCCAAAAAGTTGGTCAGCTGCAGGAAGCATGAAGTGCTCTAAAACTTCCTGGTATGTGGCTGCGTTGACCCTGGACCTCAGAAAACACAATGGACCAACACCAGCAGATGACATGGCACCCCAAACCATCACTGACTGTGGAAACTTTACACTGGACTTCAAGCAACGTGGATGAAGTGCCTCTCTTCTTTTCCTCCAGACTCTGGGACCTTGATTTCCAAAGGAAATGCAAAATTTACTTTCATCAGAGAACATGACTTTGGACCACTCACCAGCAGTCCAGTCCTGTTTCTCTTTAGCCCAGGCAAGACGCTTCTGACGCTGTCTGTGGTTCAAGAGTGGCTTGACACAAGGAATGCGACAGCAGAAACCCATGTCTTTCATACGTCTGTGTGTGGTGGTTCTTGAAGCACTCACTCCAGCTGCAGTCCACTCTTTGTGAATCTCCCCCACATTTTTGAATGGCTTTTGTTTCACAATCCTCTCCAGGGTGCGGTTATCTCTCTTGCTTGTACACTTTTTTCGACCACATCTTTTCCTTCCCTTCGCCTCTCTATTAATGTGCTTGGACACTGAGCTCTGTGAACAGCCAGCCTCTTTAGCGATGACCTTTTGTGTCTTGCCCTCCTTGTGCAAGGTGTCGATGGTCGTCTTTTGGACAACTGTCAAGTCAGCAGTCTTCCCCATGATTGTGTAGCCTATAGAACTAGACTGAAAGACCATTTAAAGGCTTTTGCAGGTGGTTTGAGTTAAAGGTGGGGTATATGATCCTGGATAAACGGTTCCTGCCAGCTACATTTTTGAAAATACACACCTTCAGCCCACCCCACGAAACCACGCCTCCAAATTACATGAACGCGCCTGCTGTCAGTCGAGAATGTTCGGATGTTCCCGAGAACGAGAAAGAAACAGGCCGAGACCTCGCGAGTGCACGTGACTCGGGATGAGGCGAGAAGCTCATGTCTATTACTAGCTAACCACAACATAACAGGCTAACTTCCATGATGGCGTCGTCTTCTCCTAGTACGGTAAGAGTGTTGAACAATTCAATATGGTCGTAAACAAGTTGTCACGGTTGTCATTTCAAGAAGTATTGATTAGGGTGACCAAACGTCCGTATTTCCCGGGACATATCCGTATTTCACGTCCTGTCCCGGGCGTCCCGGGTTTTTTTTAGAAAGTGAGGAAATGTCCTGATTTCACTGCGCACGACGCTCCGTGTGACGTAATCCCTGAGCCGCGTCAGTGCAGGCAGCCCTGTTCTTAATCAGAGGCTCTGTTCAAAAACCTGGGCTGCATCCTCCAAGGACGCGGTCTACCTAGACTGGACCCTTCGAAGTCCTTGAAAATAAGGAGACCACAAGAGTTCTGTCTGTAAATTCGAACAGGTCCTCCCTTCAGCGGCACTTGGGGGGGGGGGGGGGGGGGGGGGGGGTGTCACGAGTCTGTGAACGCGCAGGGGGGAGGGGTGGGGAGAGCTCAGAGCTGACGGTTGATGGGCGTGCCAGAAACCAGTAGAAGTAGGGATGATAGTTACTTCTATTGGTTTGCGTTTTCCTCTGACTACGCCCTCTACACTGGACTAAAAGATTTCGTTTTTTTTCCAAACATTCTATCTCAGTTGGCGCAATGGGCTCGTGAGGAGGTTTTCAATCAGTATGGTAAAAACCTGCTCCAGAAAACATCACATACCCCACCTTTAATTAGCTGATTAGAGTGTGGCACCAGGGGCCATCAATTTTGAACCTTTTCACAATATTCTAATTTTCTGATATGATGAATTTGAGATTTTCATTTGTTGTCATTTGTAATCATCAAAATTAAACAAAATAAACATCTGAAATATATCAGTTTGTATGTAATGTATGAATATAATATACAAGTTTCACTTTTTAAATGGAATTACTGAAATCAATCTACTTTTTCATGATATTCTAATTTTATGACCAGCACCTGTACACAAAGGCAGCGTGTCCCGGTGGGAGCAGCATGATAAAAACAGCACAAAAAAGCGCAGAACCTCCCCGAAAAATACCTCATTATAGAGGATAATACTTCACAGAGTCACTGTGAAAAACTAAGAGCAATCAAAAAAAGATAAAAATACGAAAGTTAAAAGCGTAAATCGAATTCACTATCTATCTATCTATCTATCTATCTATCTATCTATCTATCTATCTATCTATCTATCTATCTATCTATCTATCTATCTATCTATCTATCTAACGGTATGACTGACACAAAGTCTATCACGCTACCCATAAATTATTCTGTTATTCTGTAATATTATAAAAGACGGCGTATCTAAAAAGAAATATAGTAATACGTACCTTTACTTTCTTTCAAATATCTTTCTCTGAATCTTGCATCTGGTCCCATAGAAATGAATACTATTTTCTTTGACTCCCCCTAGTGGTCTGGAGCACTTCCGTTTTCAACACTTTTTGTTTGCTGCATTTCATTCGGGGGTGTTTTCTTTTTTGTTTGCTGCATTTCATTCGGGGGTGTCTTCTTTTTTGTTTGCGTCTCTCTTTTTGTTTGCTGCATTTCATTCGGGGGTGTCTTCTTTTTTGTTTTTTCTGCATTTTATTTGCTTTTTGTTTGCCGCATTTAATTTGTGAGCGTGTCTTTTTTTTGTTTGCATGTTTTCTCTTTTGCTGCGCATTTGCACCTTAGGGTTTTAATAATTTCAGATGAAAACATTTAGTTTAGTATAAGTTTATGCAGGCAAAAACAACAACAACAAAAAACAACAACAACAAAGATGCCCATATTGGCAGCCATATTCTATTTTGAGGTTGGGGTTGATGATAAAAAATCTTAATCATTCCATCTTTGAACTCTAACTTTAGGGAGCGTTTGTTTTAATGTTTATTTTTTTATACCAGACATATAGGTAAATTAATTAGCAAATATACACATATATTTACAAGGTCTAGGCATTGAATTCAGAAAATTAGTGAATAGTGAGGTTGTATTTGACTTAAGTGTGATAAAACATGAGAGAATCGCGTCAGGATGACATATTTAAGGCCAATTATTGATCTTTATCATGTTTTTGACGTTAGTGAAGGGAACCCCAGCTCCTCTCATTTCACAGATCTGTGGGGAAATCCGCCATGGTGACGTCACACTTCTCAGACGTCGGACTCCCAGAACTGAGGAGGAGGAGGAGGAGGCGGTAGAGGAGCCCCGCTCAGCCAACTCCACAGCGTGTTTGAGCAAAAATGAAACATGGATGAGGAGGTCCACGAAAGTTGTGAGGAAGCTGCCCATTGTAGGGTAAATAATCCAAACAGCGGCGTGCCTTCGGTTACAGACCGCTATGCTTTTAGGAGCTCCGTACCTCGGACGGACTTCCTCGTAGAAGTAGTCAGAGCTCTACTCCGTGTCAGCGGCTCCCACGGGCCAACAATGTGGCTACAGCTAATGCTAGCTCAAAGAAACTTAGCTAGTCGAGAAGAATCGCCATTAACTTGGTTAGCTCTATATTAGACTTCATAATATTTACCGCGCTAACGTGTTTAGCTCTGTGTTTAAAATTGGGAAGATATAGGTTTTAATTGTGACCGAGCAGCTATCGCATAGAGCGAATGCTAAGGCTAATGCTAACTAACGTAACGTATATTGGCTGAAGCCAAGTTGAAATCTACAATTTAACATCTCATCTAGTCTCTCCAAGTAAACATGTGTATCTGTCATTTAATAACTTTATTTAGACCTCAGACGGCAATAAACGAATACTTTTGATCTCTCAAGAATAAAACTTTTCTTTTTTTGTTTTCTAATTTAGTTATAAAGTGTCTTCATATAAGTAAAAGTTTCCACAAAACTATTCGTTAATGTTTTATGGAGTTGGCGAAATTAAAAGGTAGAATTTGGACATGGAAAGGGTGTTGAGCAATCTTCCGGGCCATGTTGTCAACTTGAGCCCAGACTAGAAGCTCCCAGCGTTACCAAACTGCTCCTTCACCTTTTTTTACTGCACAAATTTATTCGCTCTGTGTCAAAGTATAAAAAAAATGATTGCAACCACTACCTTTAATCCTTTACAGGGAACTCAGTGAAATACTTTGAAAATCAAAATTTCATCCCAATACTGTTATTGGAATCAAGACATTATTACCTTTTGGAACAATTAAAAACATATGGATATATTTATGGCAAAAATGAATGTCAATCTAATAACAAGATACGCCAACATGTCGAATATATTAAGAAAAATAAGTGCTTCTATAAGAAATTCAGGAAAAACACTCTTGAGAGTGAAAGAAACATTTTTTTTTTTGGTACAACATAACCTTAGAAGCATTATGCTGATACTGGCACTTACATTTTTTAGTTTATAAACCTAAATATAATTGTTAACTAGGCTTATTAACTTTTTAACTTTACTTTTTAACTGTTTAATTAGCTTTTTACCTTATTTACTTCACTTAATTTACAGTAGGTAGTATGTCATTGAAGGGCTCATCTAATTGGTCAAATGCCAAAATAAGATGTGCAGCCATGAAGCAGCATCTTTGCTGAATGGTTGGATATAGATCTTGTGCTTCTAGATCTCACCGAGGGACAGTGGGGGACTCCGTTTGGAAGGAAAAAGATCAAAAATGTTAATTTGCCCTATAAAGGCCTAACATGATGAGATTAAACTGGTAAACTATGGTTATAAAAGAGTTGAACCATCAAAGAATAAACCATTTTACAACACATTTAAAACAATGATGACACATTTAAAAGTCATGATCATTAATGGTTTAACTCTTAAAAATTTTAAAATCAGGTTTATTGGGCTGATTAAATTTACATTGAATTAACTTTGAAACGGAAAAGATAGTAGTTTTTAAACATTTGATAATCGCTAGAATTAGCACACATTTTATCTTGTTAAAAAAAGGTTGACTTAAGAATTTGACTAAATCACTTAAAATGTTTTTTCTTTTTATTAAATGTTTTTCCATCTTCAGAAATATATTAAGCAACTGCTGCTAACCTTATTCCCATAACTAAATGGGTTTACAATGTATGAGCTTTGTCAGTAAGGTTATCTGTAAGGTAATCATATTATACATTTTTCTAAATAGAGTCCACCTTCTCAGAAAAAAACTGCACTGACACCATGTTGGTTAAATATATTCTGCAAGCGATGGCTGTTTATGCTCTATTTCAATTACCGTATTTTCACGACTATAAGGCGCACTTAAACGTCTTTTTTTTCCCTCAAAATGTGCGGTGCGCCCTTTGGTGCGGTGCGCCTTATGTGTGTTGTAACTGCGACTTTTGAGACCACCTCATTGAGGAGATGATGAAAGAGTGGCTGAATGTAAGGAGACCAGGTGTTTTTTTTCCACTCATCACCATCGCTGTTAATATGTGACTCCATGCGTGCCCATCTCACAGCTGATGTGAAAAACATGGGGAAACAAATTAACGCTGTGCTCGCTGTTCAACCGCTCGACATCGGTGTGATCCGGACCCAGCAGGTGCAGCAGAAGCAGCGAGTTTACATGCAAAGTCAATGGTTGACGCGCGTATAGGTGCAGCAAAAAGCGCGTTTTGAGCATCAGCCGCAGCGCCTCGGGAGCGTTTAAGTATCTGACGCACCGCCAACGCGCTGCTGCTGCTCGAGATGGAAAAATTGAAGTTTTGCTGCTGGACGCGCCGCATCAACCAATCAGAGAAGCTGATCTGGGAGCTGACAGCGAGACAGACACAGCGCTCTGATGACATTAACGCAAATGAAAAAGGCTGGAGATGATGAAAGGCAGGTGTATGTGAGGAGACCAGGTGGTTTTTTCCACGCATCACCATCGCTGCGTGCCCATCTCACAGCCGATTTTAAAAAAAAAGGTGAATCAAATGGATGCTGTGCTCGCCGTTATCCCGGGGGGTCTGACAAAGGAACTTCAACCGCTCGACACTCAGTGTGAAGCGGCCGTTCAAAGTAAGGCTGCGAGCGGCGTGGGAGCGATGTATGACAGACGGAGACCACAGTTTCAGGATAAGTGGAAGGCAGCGCCGGGCAAGTTACGCCACCGTTTGCGGATGGATTGTAGATGCTTGGACTAACGTGTCTGCTGGCTCTGTTGTTCAAGCTTTTGCAAAAGCCGGCATTATTTCTGAGGAGCTGCGCTGCACGGAAAGTGACTCTGACAGCGAAGAATGGGAAATTGGCATGTCTGATTTAGCGCAGCTGTTTAATTCAGAAACAGAGGATGATGACTTTGATGGGTTTGATTAATACTTTGTAATAAATACATGAATAAAGCACAAACATACTCAGTTTTGCTCCCGCTCTATTTTTCTACCTGAAAACTTAATTCAACAGCAGCCTCTGGGCGGGTCTCCTCCTCTTCACCGCGGCGGCTGGCAGGTGTTTTTCATCTAAATAATTTAAACTGCAGGCACCAGGATACCGGCAATAAAAGCGAACATATTCCGTCAGCAGGTTTCAGGATTTTAAGTTAATTTAGGAGTCATCACAGCTCTGTCATCTGCGATGTGTCTGTCTCACGGCCAGCTCGCAGGTTTGATTAATACTTTGTAATAAATACATGAATAAAGCACAGTCATACTCAGTTTTGGGCCCGCTGTATTTTTAAAATACGCAGTAGAGGTATTTAAAGGTAGTAGAGGACATGTACCTGTATATAAAAAATGCGCCCTATAGTCCGGTGCGCCTTATGTGTGTGTTAAATACAGAAATGGCACACATAACTGAGACTGCGCCTTTTAGTACGGTGCGCCTTATGGTCGTGAAAATACGGTATTGGTTTGGTGATGCTTGTTTGAATGATTGATAATCATGTTACTGGAAAAATATGTCGGCAGAAATGTTTTTCAAAACCAAGCTGGGCTTTGGATTTAGGCTCAAAGCAGGAAAACAATGTGATGTTCAATATTATCACAAGTTAAGACTAAAATCTCTTTTCAATAGAGATCTGAGCATTAGAGCAGGATTTTACTGTATTCCTTAAACAACAGCTTTTAATTTAGTATTTCGCTCCAGCAGAGAAGGATTTTCTTAAAGGCACATACTCCTCAGACTTGCAGATTGTTTTTGTTTTTTTTGTTTGTGTTTGGTCATTCTTAATTTGATAGCTATTGTGGATAAGTCTTCATTTTCAGATAACCTTTTTTGTTATGTTTTTTTGCAGAACTAATGACTTTGTGAACTGAAACATCAATCAGTTACATTTATGTTTAAACAGAAAAATTCATTCCTTTGTCTTTTAGAATTAGGACAACATCCAACCAAAACCGACGACTCCAGACCTGAATGATGTTCGCTGGCCCATCATCGGAGCCATTTACTGTTTGCCAAAGGTTAATCAAAATGGTCCTTAGGGAAGGGTGGCTGCTATAAAAAAACTTTAAAGAAGAAAAACAAGCAAAAAAAAAAAAAAGGTAACTATGGTTTTATTTGTTAAAAAGATTTGTGGGTTTATTCAATCAGTCATTTTATTTTGTCCAACAAAGAGTGACCGAAATAATAACCTCTATACACAAATTCTTTGGTGCTAAATATAAATGACATGTTAATATTATACAATATATTTGCACATGCATACAATACATAAATTAATTTTCTTTTAAGTCTGAACTAAAGATCAAACCACAAAGGATAAAAAAACAACAAAACTGATTAGCCTAAAATCCTGGTATTTACTGCAAATGTTTTGGGCTGATTTTTCTCCATTTATTTGATACAAATGACACAACAACAAATGTTACACAATTATCAACTCAAACAAAAACTTTAAAGCAATAGTACACCCAAAACATGATTAGCCTTCATTTTCTACTCACCCCCATGCTGAACAACACTCTGGAGTACTTTTTTGATATCTCAAATGCATCTGGAGATCTGGGAGGCTTCTTGCTGTCTGCTGACATTCAAATAATGGAGGTATACGGTGCCCGAGACAGAAAGGTCCATAAAAGTCCACATAAACGTGTCAATATTCCTCCATACTGCTCGTCCAATGTATTCCAAGTGTCCTGAGTGGGTAGCATCCAGAATTTACTCGAAACGAAGTCATTTAGAATGTTTTTAGAGCATAAACAGTAGTGTATAGGATTTCCTGAAAGCGCGTTCATGACGCTACGGAAGCCGGCAGACCAAACCAGATGAAAGTGCGCATTCAGCGTCTGCTCTGCCGATAATGCAAGCGTAGAAGAAGAAATGTGCTGTTTACCTGTGCAAAGAAAGAAACAACGAAAGAAAAATGTCTGAGGACTTCAGTGTTGAGGAAGAGCATGAGTTCTTTGCCGAGCTGAATGCGCTGGTTTGGTCTGCCGGCTTCCGTAGGCTCGTGATCGCGCATGTGCGCGCTTTCAGGAAATCCTATACACTACTGTTTATGCTCTAAAAACATTCTAAATTACTTCGTTTCGAGTAAATTCTGGATGCTACCCACTCAGGACACTTGGAATACATTGGACGAGCAGTATGGAGGAATATTGACACGTTTTTGTGGACTTTTATGGACATTTCTGTCTCGGGCACCATAGACCTCCATTATTTGAATGTCAGCAGACAGCAAGAAGCCTCCCAGATCTCCAGATGCATTTGAGATATCAAAAAAGTACTCCAGAGTGTTGTTCAGCATGGAGGTGAGTAGAAAATGAAGGCTAATCATGTTTTGGGTGTACTATTCCTTTAATAAATAAATAAAAAGAACCCTTAAAGGTATAGTGGAGAATGTTCTTTTTCTGGGTGGGTCATGCATGGGCTGCTGAGTACACTAATGAATTTTCATGGGAAAAACGCTAATATTAGCAGCTGGTGTGTTAGTTTAACTCTAGTTTTAACATCTTTAATAAAAGTGTAGTTTTGGACTTTGTCTCTGCCAGCAGTTTGGTAAAAGTAAATAAATAAATAACCTTTTAAAAACTATATTTGGTTCTAGGTTCACTGTTTAAATGATTTAAGAAAAGCCAGATTAATGTGATACATTTAGCTTTTTTGGTGTGTGTCACCAAATCCGAAGTGATTATTTGTGAACACTGCTAGAGCAAATGCTGTTTGCTCAAAGAGTTTCCACTCCGTTAACAAATAAAGGTTATAATGTCAAATGTCTTTGATACTGTGTTTGTATTCATTTTGCACATGTGTAATTGCCCAACATTAATTCTTTTTTTCTATCTTATTTATAATTTAATTACATTAAACTTTTAGCAGCACTTTGTTAGCTTACTGAACAGAGTTTATGACTTGGCAGCTGTCCCTTTGTGTATAAATAGCTTGTAACAGAATCTTGCTTTCAATCCACTCCACAGCTTAATGCCCTCTTCAGTTTTTCCTTTCTCAAATCATGTCAAAAATCAATGTTTATTCACATGAATCCCTGTTTGTCCTACTTTCCCCTCAGGAAATGGAAAAACGGTTAGAAGAAAAGCTTCGGATCAGCCCGAGAGAAAAGTAAGAACATTTGGTGCTGAAGTTAATGGCCTAAAAGAGGCAGTTGTGTTGGTTTATCCATATATATCTACCTGAACAACAGTTGAGCGTTTATACAGATTAAAGGAATAGTACACCCAAAACATGATTAGCCTTCATTTTCTACTCACCCCCATGCTGAACCCTTTTTTGATATCTCAAATGCATCTGGAGATCTGGGAGGCTTCTTGCTTTCTGCTGACATTCAAATAATGGAGGTCTATGGTGACCGAGACAGAAAGGTCCATAAAAGTCCACAAAAAACGTGTCAATATTCCTCCATACTGCTCGTCCAATGTATTCCAAGTGTCCTGAGTGGGTAGCATCCAGAATTTACTCGAAACGAAGTCATTTAGAATGTTTTTAGAGCATAAACAGTAGTGTATAGGATTTCCTGAAAGCGCGCACATGCGCGTTCACGACGCTACGGAAGCCGGCAGACCAAGCCAGATGAAAGTGCGCATTCAGCGTCTGCTCTGCCAATAATGCAAGCGTAGAAGAAGAAATGTGCTGTTTACCTGTGACAAGAAAGAAACAACGAAAGAAAAATGTCTGAGGACTTCAGTGTTGAGGAAGAGCATGAGTTCTTTGCCGAGCTGAATGCGCTGGTTTGGTCTGCCGGCTTCCGTAGCGTCGTGAGCGGGCATGTGCGCGCTTTCAGGAAATCCTATACACTACTGTTTATGCTCTAAAAACATTCTAAATGACTTCGTTTCGAGTAAATTCTGGATGCTACCCACTCAGGACACTTGGAATACATTGGAAGAGCAGTATGGAGGAATATTGACACGTTTTTTGTGGACTTTTATGGACCTTTCTTTCTCGGTCACCATAGACCTCCATTATTTGAATGTCAGCAGACAGCAAGAAGCCTCCCAGATCTCCAGATGCATTTGAGATATCAAAAAAGTACTCCAGAGTGTTGTTCAGCATGGGGGTGAGTAGAAAATGAAGGCTAATCATGTTTTGGGTGTAGTATTCCTTTAAAGGGTCATTTTTTAGCATTATGTTTATGATGTGAATTCTGTTTCATTGTTTGTGCAAAGAATCCGTTTTGTAAATGGGAATTTGAAAAATATTCACTTCTGAAATTAAACTTTGAAAAACTAAAAAAGAGTAGCTTTGCTGTTTAACTTTTTCAAAATGTTTTTTTATGTTATCCTTTTCAAAAAAGGATATATTTTTGATTTCATATTTTCAAATTAGATTTTTCTTCAAATGTATTATTTTCAGATTGAGTTTTAGAAATCGCATACTTTTAAAACTGCTATTAAATGAAAAAGAGCAGTTTGAAAAAAAATTAAATGAGAAAATATTAATATTTTCATTTCCATTTTAAAAAGAGGTATTTTTTCCAGGTTTCTGATTACAAAACGTGCGTTGTTGTATTTTTTTGTTTGTTTGTTTTTGTTTTGTTTTCCCAATTTCCATTTACAAAATATGCTCTTTGCTATTAATAATAGTGGAACAAATACCCTCTATATTCAGGTTTTCCCTGGTCATTAAAAATCATTTTTATTTTTTAAATTAAGGCCTTAATTGGCATTAAAATTCATTAAATGTTAATTATCTTAATATCAGAGATAACTGAGGCAGAACTAAGATCGGTGATTAAAAAGTTAAAAGGAGGGAAATCTCCAGGAACGGATGGGTTTACCTCCGAGCGGTACAGAGAAATGCAAGATCTATTAGTCCCTGTTTTATTAAGAGTTTTCAACAATGTTCTGGAAAAGAAAATAATTCCTCCTTCATGGAGAGATGCAATTATTTCATTAATCCCCAAGGAGGGAAAGGATAAGTTGGACTGCAGAAACTACCGCCCGATAAGCCTGCTTAATATTGATTATAAATTATTTACTACCATAATTGCACAGAGATTAGAAAACATCTTACCAGTGATAATTCATAAGGACCTAATAGGCTTTATCAAGCAGAGACAGACACAGGACAACATCAGAAAAACTTTGCACATCTTAAACCATGTAATTCAACAAAAAATAGAGACCCTTGTACTGAGTCTGGACGCAGAGAAGGCTTTTGACTCGGTAAGATGGTCCTTTCTCTACAAAGTTATGTCCAGATTTGGGTTTCACCAGAACATAATTGATGTCATTTCAGCCCTATACAATAAACCATCGGCTAGGATAAAAATGAATGGAGACCTATCTGACCCCTTTGTTTTGGAAAGGGGTACGAGGCAGGGATGCTGTGTTTCGCCGCTTCTCTTCGCCCTCTTTATAGAGCCGTTAAGTCAATGGATAAGACAGAGAACAGACATAGCTGGAGTTCGCATGGCATCTGGAGAACAGAAGCTTTCATTGTTTGCAGATGATTTGTTGCTAACCATAACAAATCCATCTCAAACTCTACCTGTACTTATGGGAGCAGTGGAGGAATATGGCTCGCTCTCGGGTTACAAGATAAATGTTACCAAGACTCAGGCTCTAACAATAAATTATAACCCACAGAACAATATTAGAAAACTGTACAATTGGAACTGGGAGGCAGATTCCATAAAATATTTAGGGGTCACATTGCCCAAGGACTTTTCTAAGATTTTGATGCCAACTATGGGCCCCTAATCTCAAACCTGAAGTCAGACATACAGAGATGGAACCTGACCCCTTTTTCAAATTTATACTCCAGAGTGGAATTGGTCAGAATGAACATTCTCCCACGCTTCCTTTATCTATTTCAATGTTTACCTATCCAGATATCAGAAAGACGTTTTATAGAATGGGAAAGAATGATATCTCAGTATATTTGGCAGGGGAAAAAGGCAAGAGTGAGGTATAGGACGCTGCAATTAAAGAAAGAGAAAGGTGGACTGGGTCTTCCCAATTTGCAAGTTTATTACCTTGCAGCTCAGTTAAGACCATTGTTCTGTCTATGCTCTCCATCATACGATGCAAGGTGGAAAGATATGGAAGGTAGAACAGTGGAGGGAATACCCCTAATATCAGTATTAATGGATACGGAATTACAAGATGGGCTGAATATACCACATGGTTGAATGCTACACACAATGCTGGATTCCTGGAGAAAGGTGATTAAAATCTGTAAATTGAGCAACCAGATAAAAATACTCAGATGGTGTGCCTTTGACTCTGCTTTTAAACCGAATAAGATGGATGGGAGATTTAGAGGATGGATCCAAAAAGGAATAACCACCTACTATACATTTACCAAAAAGGGGGTATTTCAGAGTTTTGAGGAGCTTCAGAGATCTAATGGGTTAGAGAGGGGCGACTTCTTCAGATATTTACAAGTGAGGGCCTATTTCAATCAAAACATACGTAATGATTGGGAAACAGCCAAATCAAAATTGGTTGATGTGTTTTTGTCTTTGTTGAAGTCAGGTTCATGCAAGAAACTTGTTTCCATACTTTACAATGCTATTCTATCTTCTAAACAAGGCGATACGAATTATATAAGGAACAGATGGGAAAAAGAAGGAAACATATCTATCTCAACCGAAGTCTGGGAACAGATTAATAAATTACACTGGATGACTTCAAGCTCCAACACATGGAGACTGTTCTGTTGGAAAAACTCTGTTCGATATTTTGTAACTCCAGCTCAGAAAAAAACATCATGGCAGCGGAGATGCCTGTTGGAGACTCTGTGGAAAAAACGGAGCAAATCACCACCACATCTTCTGGGGATGTCCGGTGATTAAAGATTTTTGGGAGCAAACGTGTACCCACATAAACAACATCTTCACTAAAAATCTCCCGTGTAAATGTGAAATTCTGTACTTAGGAAACATTCCATCTGACAACTGGACTCTGGAAGATAAAAAACTGCTGTTAATGCTGCTGGCTGCAAGTAAAAAGACAATCACCAGAAAATGGTTAAAACCTCAAGCACCTACAGTTGAGGACTGGTTTGGCATAGTGCAGGACATTTACATGCTGGAGAAGCTAACTTTCTCTGTCCAAGGACGTAGAGATTCTTTTTTCAGGATTTGGTCTAAGTGGACAAACTATGTAAAACCAGTAATCCCTGTGATCTAAACTTGTCTTACCACATGCAAATACTGTTGTGCTGTGTATTGTTCCCTTTTGGCAGGCTTATGTCCTGAATTGTGCTTTTCCTCAAAAATAAGGAAAATCTGAATCGGACCTCATGTTCCCACCCGCTCGCTTTTTTTAAGTTATAGATGTTTGGTTATCATACAAAAACTCTGGATCGGCTTATGTTGTTCTTTTCCATATTTCCACCGTGGTGGAAGGTTGAATGTACAAAGTAATTGTAACCTGCCTTTCCAAATAAAAATTTCAATATAAAAAAAAAAAATGTTAATTATCATGGTATTTAAAATGCTTTATTTGAAAAAACAAATACATTTATAAGAACAGTTTAATCAGATATAATTGGTTCTGCGTGTTTGCGCAAAAGTGCTTCCGGTTGATCGTAAAGCCGTATGTTCCGAAAAGAAGCTCAAGGCGGAAAAAAGCTAGAGAATGGGAAAGGGGCAAATTTCAACAGCAGAGGCTGGAAAACGAGGAATTTGGGACCTGGATGCAGCCTGTCGATGGTAAAGATGACGGAGGATTTTGCTGTGATATATATATACACTCACCGGCCACTTTATTAGGTACACCTGTCCAACTGCTCGTTAACACTTAATTTCTAAGCAGCCAATCACATGGCTGCAACTCAGTGCATTTAGGCATGTAGACATGGTCAAGACAATCTCCTGCAGTTCAAACCAAGCATCAGTATGGTGAAGAAAGGTGATTTGAGTGACTTTGAACGTGGCATGATTGTTGGTGCCAGAAGGGCTGGTCTGAGTATTTCAGAAACTGCTGATCTACTGGGATTTTCACGCACAACCATCTCTAGGGTTTACAGAGAATGGTCCGAAAAAGAAAAAACATCCAGTGAGCGGCAGTTCTGTGGGCGGAAATGCCTGGTTGATGCCAGAGGTCAGAGGAGAATGGCCAGACTGGTTGGAGCTGATAGAAGGGCAACAGTGACTCAAATAACCACCCGTTACAACCAAGGTGGGCAGAAGAGCATCTCTGAACGCACAGTACGTCGAACTTTGAGGCAGATGGGCTACAGCAGCAGAAGACCACACCGGGTGCCACTCCTTTCAGCTAAGAACAGGAAACTGAGGCTACAATTTGCACAAGCTCATCGAAATTGGACAATAGAAGATTGGAAAAACGTTGCCTGGTCTGATGAGTCTCGATTTCTGCTGCAACATTCGGATGGTAGGGTCAGAATTTGACGTCTACAACATGAAAGCATGGATCCATCCTCCCTTGTATCAACGGTTCAGGCTGGTGGTGGTGTCATGGTGTGGGGAATATTTTCTTGGCACTCTTTGGGCCCCTTGGTACCAATTGAGCATCGTTGCAACGCCACAGCCTACCTGAGTATTGTTGCTGACCATGTCCATCCCTTTATGACCACAATGTACCCAACTTCTGATGGCTACTTTCAGCAGGATAATGCGCCATGTCATAAAGCTGGAATCATCCCAGACTGGTTTCTTGAACATGACAATGAGTTCACTGTACTCAAATGGCCTCCACAGTCACCAGATCTCAATCCAATAGAGCATCTTTGGGATGTGGTGGAACGGGAGATTCGCATCATGGATGTGCAGCCGACAAATCTGCGGCAACTGTGTGATGCCATCATGTCAATATGGACCAAACTCCCTGAGGAATGCTTCCAGCACCTTGTTGAATCTATGCCACCAAGAATTGAGGCAGTTCTGAAGGCAAAAGGGGGTCCAACCCGTTACTAGCATGGGGTACCTAATAAAGTGGCCGGTGAGTGTATATATATATAATGAGAGTCATGTGTTCTTTTTATTGGCATCACAGTTATTTCTAAGAGCATTAAAAAGCATTAAATTAGAGTTCCTCATTCCTGTATAAACCCTGATACGTGTGAAATCTAGACCAGTTTGAAAACAGAAACATTGCAGGTGTTGGAATATTTAAAACTCAGACAAGGTTCCTTTTGATTATGGCCTAATTGTCTACTTAATGTTTGGAAAAAAAGGGGTTTTAATCATATCTGTTTTTGTCATCTACTCATCTGGAGCAAAACAACTGTTTAAAAATAAATTTGCTCTGAAACATTATGAAAGTGATCAATGTCTTAATTGGATCTTGTTAGTTTTCACTCTAACAAAAACTGGCTTAACATGTCACAGGAGGCTAATAAGTAATTAAGTCAAATATGGTTGTTGCTTTGGAGCTAAAATGATCTTAATTTGGGCATTTCCTTTTTCTTTCTTCAGGGATTCTACTAATTCTTCCAGATCTCCATTAAAGACAACCATGGTGATTCAGGACAGCTCTTTACCAACAGCACCCTCGCCTCAGATCCGAATCTTGAAGCGACCAGCAAGTAACGGGTCATTGGCCTCCTCCATGAATCCAAACAGGCCTACTCCTCAAGTCAAGTCCCTGGCCCAGCGGGAAGCAGAGTACGCAGAGGCCAGGAAACGAATTCTGGGTAGCGCCTGCCCAGAGGAGACTCCTCAGGAAAAGCCCAACACTGACAGGTAACAATGACAAACACTGAGGCTTTAGATTTTTGTCTGGTGGAAACAGAGGCGCATCTAGAAGGTGCAGATCATCTGAACTCCAGGAGATCCTGGAATTGAAGACCCCCTACTTCAGAGCACCGAAAAGCTTTTTTGTGCTGCATCCAGGGAAGATGGATAGTCCTAGGATATTTCTTAAACTCTCATGATGATTTTTTTATTTTACCAGCAATTTTCAGAAAAACTTCCTGTGATATTTAGTTTCACACCTAACATTTCATTCCTCTAGCATTGACACAGCTTTTACTTTTAATAACCTTCAATCATTTGCGCTGATAAAAAAAAAACCTAGAATGCAAAACATAGAGTGCATTAATATCAAACCATTCATTAGTAGAAAGAAAGTTTAAAAAAAAGTTCAAGAAGTATAATCATATATAATCATCCTGCAGGTGTATAGATTTATTTTCTTTAGTTTTGGTTTCGTTAGAGGCATTATGTTTGTGTACAGCCAGCGTGTGTGTGTGTGTGTGTGCGTGCGCGCCCTCTAGTGGAAGGCAGAGGATTTTCAGATGATTAACATTTTTTTTTTTTGAACAAAATGTATACAAAATCTCGATGAGGTACAAGAACAATACAACATAGGTAGAAAAAGTAAAACAAAAAAACAAGGGGCTAAGACTGAAAACAAGCACATAAAACAGTAAGGCAATTGAATAATAATAGAGCAGGGATTTAAAACAAAAGAAAACTTGAGATACTGGCAGTTACTTTTCTTGCAGAAACAGATTTCAAAAGTTTCAGTGAGGTGAAATAAAGTTTAAATTCGTTAAGAAAAAAATCAAAACAAGGAGTAGAACCTCTCCATTTACAGCAGTGTATGTGATATTTCACAAGTAAAAAGATAATATTAATCATGTCAGATATTTTACAATCAAGGCCATCAATATAATATAAAATGTGGGTGATGGTTATCTCAGGAATGTCATCAATTTTAAGGGATAACCAATTTTTAACGTCGCTCCATAGTTTAAAAGAAAAGGGACAGGAAAAAAAAAGATGATTAAGGGATTCTTCTGGACCATCAAAAAAGGCACAACATGCTGAATCAAATTTAAATCTTTTGTGCAAAAATTCAGCCACTGGGTAAAAATTGTGAGAAATTTTGAAATGAGTTTCTTTAACCTTTGGTGAAATTGGCCATTTTACGTACTTGGAGAACGCATTCTCAATTATAGACAGATTGGTTGTTATCAAGATATTATTATTGTAATCATTAAATAATTTAGATTTGAAGGCAGTCACAAGCAGAACATTGTTGCACTTTGAATCGGTCACACTATATTCTCCAATTTTTAATTTGGGTAAAGATGAAGTGACATTTGAGTATCGTAAAGTGTTTTGGATGAGATGGATCAGAGCTACAGGGATAGCTCTATATACTTTTAAATATTCATTACAAGAACAGTTCAGATCAAATTTGTTAGTGAAATCACTATGATTTAACAACATACCATTACTATCCAATAAATGATTAACCATTTTAGGATAAGTCGTTTACAAGTTTGGTGGTGGTGTTTTACATGAAACTGCCTGATGATTGAAACACTTGTATCACTGCATCCCATGGTGCATATTAATGCAAAAGGGCCCTAAAAATTCACACACACCATATATATATATATATATATATATATATATATATATATATATATATATATATATATATATCAATTGCACATTGGACAAAAAAGTCAAATGAGCTAAGGAATAACTGATTAAATACATTTGAAGGTTGAAGGTCTGGAGTAGCTATCACTCCTGCAGAGTGAGATCTAAAGCAAGATTTAAGGGATTCTGCATTTATCTGGAAGCATACAGAATAGTATACTGTTATATCTGGGAGGAAATAATTATTTGTAATTGAGTGCTGTTTTCCTTTTTGCTCCCAGGCCAGCGCGCAATAACTCCACAATGCCTTCAGAGGACACCAGATCTAACAATCACACTGTCCGGCAGCCCGCCGGCCCGGATGGCACCCAGGGGTTCCGACAGCACAGATAAGCGGGCCTCTGGGACGACCCAGCCATGGAGGGGAGAAAGGGATAAAGAGCTGCCTGAGATCAAACACATACTGTATTCTTAAAAGGTCCTTCCCTTAGTTCCCTCATATCAGCAGTCTGTGAGAAAGTCAGGGAACGAGGAACTCCAGGAGGAAGCCAAACTTAAAGGAGCTCTCGCCTCTCTCCCCTGTTCATGTTCATTTGGCACTGTGATTATGGACATATTCTGGATTCACTGTGATCATCCCCCTTTAAGAGACGCCCCTCAGCCTCCATCTTTTTTTTTTTTTTTTTATTGCTTTTAGTTCTGTCTGCCTAGGAATGTAGGAAGAGCAAACAAAGACTTGAACAGTTCAAAGATGAGGTGAAATAAGGGGTCCTAAAACTAGATCAGCTGGTTCATGTACAGCAGCTTCATCCCAGCAATAACACCAGCTTTCACTTTTCATCAATTTCTTTTAATCACTTGTCTTTACTGAAGGGATGCACTGATAGCTTTTAAATAAGGATCAGTTCTTACACACCACTAACTCTGCTTATTGGAATAGTGGAAATGAGAATCACTTTTCTCTGCGTTCTGGTCTGGAGGTAGAACGGTAGCTTAAATAAGCGCTCCTGCCTGCAGCCGGTTGTCTATTAAATATACGTTCAATGTGGAAAACTGTTAAAAGTATCAGTGCATACCTTAATATAGAAACTGCCTTTTGTTTTTAAAATCGGAGGTCAGGGGTTGTGTGTGTGTCAAGCATATATCTGACAAGTTTTGTTTACTTTTTTTTAAGCTTTTAGCTGTCTGTCTTTGACAGTTGCATAATTTCTATTTAAGAGTAAATAAGAATGAACAGGAGAAAATGGATTTAAGTCAGGTTTCAAGTAGCTTTTCTGCCCTTTTATTTGAAACGGCAGCAGTATAAGAGCAGTATTTTAGATAAACCAAAAGCCCATGAGGGGCTTCATTTTTATGATTTTACAAAATGGTTTTGGCAGGAATTACAAAAGAATAAATGCTATTGTGTTTCTTCCCATCCTCTTCTGAAGTAAAAATAATGAACTCAGGTCCATGTGAATGAAATGAACGAAGATTGTATTTTTCCAGCGGGTTTGTTTTCTCAGACTATGAGTATTTAACTAGCGGTTCGCACTTAAAAATGGTGCTCTGTTGAGCTAAATGTAATGCAAAGGAGGTTGCTGTCTCAATGTTAAGTCGTTGCTTGTCCTTAAATGAAATAGTTTGCGTCCCAATGTCAGAACTGTAACTTCCCTCTCAGTATGATTGCTCAGTAACTGCTGATCCGGAGCGGAGCGGCAGGTTATGAACTGGAGAACTCGACCGCGTGGCTTTCCCGGACCGTTGTGCCCAGTTAATGTTTCTCACCTTTTAATTGTTCAGAGGAGATCTCAAAGCCATACTTGGTGTAAGATCATGATCACACAAAGACTTTTGTGGTAATGGGTTAACTTCAGCTTGTGCCTCCTGTATCACATCTTTACTTCCTGGTTGTTGATTTCTATTCTTTTTGGTTTTTAAATAATGAAAATATTTAAAGGGGGGAATTATCAATATTATTGAAGAGATTTTAGTTGAGGAAATCTTAGTGGCAGAGAAAGAACAGAAAATACAAACTACCTGTAAATACTGATATAATAAATTGATTTACTAAAAATCCCATACTGTGTGCTTACTTTTTTATAGTTTCAATCCCCTGGCTGGTATAAAAATTCACTCACTTCTAGGTATGTAGAACATAAAATCCCTTTAAAGGTTTGTTACCCAATATACACAAATATGACGTCTTGTTTTAACTGCAGGCACTTGATATTCTCCTATATAAGGAAAACCAGCAATAGAAATAATCTTTTTACTTTCTCATATAAATAAACTCCATACAAAATAAATTTATAACTAAATAGAATTACATGTTTTAAGTAAAAGTATCTTGTGATCAATGATTAAATAAAACAAATATATACATATAAGAAGGCAGAAGTAATTCTACCCTAAAATCTTACATCTCACATACCAACACAATCTTCAACCTGTAGTGTGCTGTATCTAAAATATTGCTTTTCAGAGGATCAGTGCAAACTCTTAGAAAATATCAGTTTTAAAATGTTTTGTAAAAAAAAGATTCTTAACATTTATACAATTATGTGTGTAAAAATTATCACAGGGTGGCGTGACTACACAGTCGGCAACCGGGTGGTTTAGATGTGACAGTAAAAGCTCAGTGAGTCTAAAGGAATTTTAGCTGAGTGAGATGAGGACCCCTCGTCTGAGGGGTTAAGAGTTTGATCCAGTGGCGGCCATGTTGTACAGCGAGACAGAGCAACCCTCAGACGCTTGTACTGCTTCTTGGATGGACGATTCCTCGTAGCAGACGTAGAAAGTTCAGCATGCCGCAATCAATCAGCATCTGCAAAAAAAAAAAAAAAAAAAAACGTTTTTGATGTGTGAAACACTTAGAGGATGACATTTGAAATAAGTTTCCTTTCGGAAAGTACTCTACTTTTGATAATTAGATTTTTTTTTATTAAACATGTCAGATACGAATAAGCAACATTAAGCCAATCAATAGCTCTACAAATATGAATAATAATGAAATACACCCAGGCAGTCTACACACACATTTTTTTGAATACCAAAAAAACGGCAAAATTATTGCAAAGGCAAAATGTGACAAGCATGACTTAAAAGTGAGGAAAATAAGTATTGGAACACCCTGCTATTTTGCAAGTTCTCCTACTTAGAAATCATGGAGGGGTCTGAAATTGTGATCATAGCTGCAAACTTAAGTCAGGCCTTGACATGTGCTGGTTTAATTGGGAACCTTGCTTAAAAAAGCTAGACGGGTGTTCAAATACTTATTTTCCTCACTGTAACATTCATCTTTCTATCATCAGGAGTTTTGTAAAAAGAGAAGCAAAGGAACATTTTGGTTTAGTTTTTCTGATGTAAATAATCATCTTTTGCAGAAAATGACAGAAACATCTTGCTTCAAACACTGTGAGACTAAGCTTCTGCTATAAGCACAGTATGTTCTGGGCCTTATTTTAGACATGGTCGTTATTTTTCCCCAGGTAAACAATCTGAAAACTGAATGTACCCTCCCACTTATGCTCTAATTTATTGAACATCAAACCTTTTCATAAACTTCAACTCTGTTAGGTTTAACATAGTATATCTGTACATATTTTTAACGAATTACCCAATATAATGCAGGTAGCAGTTGAATGTTATAACTCACCTCGGTAAGGATGCAAATTAGAAAGTTGACTACAGCTACGCCAATCAGCAGGAGTCTAAAGGTCAGATCAGGGAAGTCATACAGTTGAAGTATCTGACTAAACCAAGGAGCCGGATGAACCACGAGCCACACCATCACAGCCGACTGGATCAGCAGCAGGCAGACAAACTTCCCTGGACAGATTGTAAAATGATGTCATAAAATGCTTAAAGTTTTATGATTTAGGTTTTACAAAAGATTTCAGTTAACAGCAGTGATGATAGGGCACTGCAGATTTACACATAAAGTCGATTTATCGAATGACTCAGTTATGGTAGAGAGGTTTTTTGTGGGGGTAGCCTTAAGTAACCACTGCTGCAAAGAAAATGTACTGAAAACCAGATAAATCAAACACGCTGTTGTTCTCCATGTTGGGCAGGTTATCTATTCCAAACACTGTTGAATTAAGTGGAATATACCTAGGAAATATATATACACAAGTGTATAAAGTCATGAGATTTGCCAAAATGGAAAATTCAAAACCAGAGTTTTTATTCACTTTACTCACCATCCCTGTGAGGTGGTAATAAAAAATGCACCCAACTGGCCCAGTACGATCATGCAAGTGTGAATGAAGAGGCTGCCAAACACAGGCAGGGCCAGCACAGTGGCTGGAGTTCTGCTGGACTGCAGCTCCTCACTGGGTCCTCCTCCTCCCATCGCCATGGCTAACGGGGTGACCAGAACCAAGTCAAAGAACAGGAACTGAAAGTCACCCAAAGTTGTCTTTACCTGGTGACAGACATCAAAACAATCAGAAAAAAAAGTTTTAATATGTTTTAAAGGAGTGTAGTTACAGCTGCAATTAAATAGGTATAGACAGGAACAGCAGTTTGAATGGGTAATAACATCTTAGACCTTTTTAAATGACGAAAAGCAATGATAAGATCTGAACCTATCTGGTGCTTTTGTAGTCGTATGGACCTTTTTTTTTTTTTATAAACTGTGCTGTCTGGCGATGTGGCAATAAGAATAATTGTCTTGATGCCAAAAAGAGCCCAACAGATTTTACTTTCACAAGTAAAGCAGTACGGCTATCGCCATAGTGTTCCGCTTGATTAATGCATATAAATAGCTTTATTATAATTCATGCAGGCAGTTTTAAAAAAAGGAGAAAAGATGAAAGAAAGAGGAGATAAAAGGGGAGATAACGATAAAGTATCTTCAGTCTGCTTCATTATCTGCAAAGAGATGTAAAAAGAGCAGCACAACCAACGGACATGGTACAAGACATACAATAAAGTAACACCTTGATATTATCGATGAAGTATAAGTAGTATTATTTAATCTGACATGTACATTGTGGTAGCTGAAGATAAGAATATGGGCTTTCTGTATGGAAGTGAATCTCTAAGTACCTGGAGCTTAACACCTGTAGATGTTTATGAGAGTGCACTTGTGCATGCAAGGTTTATCCAAAGGGAAAATGCTCAATAGTAGTTGTGAAGAGTCAAAGACGTGCCCCCCCAGAGCATTGAGGCCAGCGCCGGAGGACCCAAAGCCCCAGACGTCCAATAGGATCCCAAGAGCAAAGGCGGCCTGGAGGGGCCAACCCAGGAAATCCGACCCCCCAACAAGGGGAGGTGGAGAGACGGCCCCGAGGAAATCCCCCAGCCATTGCAATACCAGAGCCGCCAGGAGCCGCGGGGACAGGTCTGCCCTGCCACCCCGGCAGAAGCCCCGACTGGGCCCCGGGGGACTAGGCCCCGCGAAGCAGCTGCCAGGAATAAGCCATATGGACCATCAAAAGCGTTACGACTTCAGTCACTTGGCATGCTGTATATAGCCAACAATGTGTGGTAAGTAGTGCCAGGATCAGAGGTACATGAACATGTGAGAAGTGATGAAGCTGGGATGGAACCCACAACTTTAAGAATGCAGAATGAGTAGTACCATTCAGTCATAGACATAATAAAAAAATTTTAAACTAAAACCTCAAATTTCCTATCAGAATCTTAGATTTCTGGGGGGGGTTTTAACTCAAGACTTCAGTGGATGCTTCAGTGCGAAAAAGTCGCCAACTTTCTGCAGAGTCAATCTCTACACATCTCCTAACTTCATATGACCATCAGATTGGCTCAAGAACAGAGAGCTTAATGTCTTGTTTTCTAGAGCTCCCCCAGTGGTCATGTAATGAACTACCGTAACTCTGGCAAAACAGAAGCTTATCAGATCTCACAACATCTTTCCCTATTTTAAAGTTAATCATGGTAATATTACAAACATGTTCAGCATGATGCCGTCGCTATTTTGGGATGGTATTCTTGGTGTGGTAGTCTTTGGGGTTGTAAAGAAATATCAAAATTGTTACCTTAAATTTCAAGCACCCCCAACCAACAGAATTGCTGCATACATCCTCTATCTCATGCAGGGAAACCCTGCACCAATTTTCTTTTCATCTCTGTGTTTTTGTCAATGCTGCTTAAATTTATCAAGGCAGTACTTAAAAAATGAAAAAGTCTAGAGAGCTGTACTAAACAAAATTTCTTTTTGTATACACTTGTGTGTACAAAATGACAAAATAAAACTTGTCTAAGTCTGTCTAAGTCCAAGTCTGCTATAAATGCGAACCCCTTAATCATCCAAAGCAGTGCACAGCAGTATCATAGGAGACTCAGAATCCCTTTTCATGTGAATGGGTGAATGTATTGTGGAACACTT